TAGGGCGACGCCGAGGAGACCACCTGGACTTGACCCAGCCTAGGGCGACTCGGAGGAGGCCGCCTGGCCTCGATCCAGCCTAGGGCGGCGCAGGGAGGTTGGAGCCTGCCTAGGTCTTCGTCAGTGATGAGCACGCACTAGGTTCGTAGGCCCCTTCTCTTCCCTTCCTGCTGTGCAAAACTGAGAACCATGCAAAATTTGTCTGGCGTTGAAACCCTATGATGAGAATTGAGAAACGTCGTTGATAACTAACCCGAGTGATTGCGATACGCCGCAAGTGGCTGAGGAGACCAATACTAATGTGTGATTCTCGGCTAAGTTAAAGTGGACAATTTGGATTCACATTACTCTGAAACTATTTGAATAGATTGATAGATGCGAAGGTCACCTTACCAAGAACAAAATTAGCTCAACCGATGAAATGACTTCCTTATGAACCATTCATTCAGTGTATAATGTAACAGCTTTTCATTCCAAATTACTACAGGTTAAACGGAAAGCGCAAGATGTTGGACCATTTGACTGTACCAAGTTCTCCAAAAACATCCCAACCTCTGGCACCTGACTGCATTGTGAAGGCGGCCGTGCAAGGCGGCTGAGGAAGGGAGGTCATGCTTTTCTGATCAGAAATGCAGTGCCAGTGCGCCGGCTCTTCAGAACATTGTGAAGAAGCTGATCAAGACTGAGTGAGAAAATAGTGTTGCTCTGCTGGGAATCTGGTAGTGAGAAATGAGATGAAATGATAGATGCCAGAGTTCTTGTTACCAATATACACATTGAGTCTTTATTAGTGCTATTAGATCTGTAAGTTTTTGTGTGAATCATCAGTGGGTAGATTGGGTGCACAAACTACCGCTTAATTTCTGCTTGAATGCATTGTACTGTACGTACCGGATCTGAATGAGTGTATGGTGTTAGCAATAGCTTGGCAACGCTTCTTTGCTCTCGTAGTCTGCATGCATGGTTTACATAAGTTATCCAATACTGGGGTTGTCATAAAAAAATCAGGACAAAGCCTCGGGCCTTTTCTTGCAAAAACTAATGATGATTCACTAACAGTAAGCATGTTCTTTATTTCTTTTAACACATATGACTGTTATGACAAAAATTACAATTATATCTAAGCTTCTCGAGGAAAAAGAAAATCCAATATATTCAGAAGAAAGGAGAGTTAAAAACAGAAATTGAGATCAGAACAACACGTCCTTTTTTATTCCGATATCGTAAACGGTCACTCTCTCAACAAGCAGAAGTTTCTCTCGTTACACGACCCATGTATTACAAGGGCTCTTCCCAGTGTTCTATCATTCTATGGTTACAACTTACACGACAACTAATAATAAAACAGCTAAACCTTAGAAAGGGTTGTCGGAACCCATATGTAACCATGGGTCTGCACATACCCCATCCTCTTGCTCAACTCGTCGGATTCCTGTGGTCCTCGGGTTCTCGGCTTGTATGGAACGAACTTCAGCGTGCCACCATCGATGTCGTGAGGTAAAGGAGTGAAGATTTCCCATGCAGCCTACAACCAACAAACACACTGTCAAAACAAGTAATTCTCAAGGCAGCTCATTGCAAAGGAAGTACGTATGCATGGTCAATTACAAACCCTCAGTTCATCTCGGCGAACAAAGTGGTGTTGTTCTGCTGGTCTCCTCTTATCCTGATGAAACATAGTTATCAGTAAGTATACCATGACTCAAGAAGAATTGTTTTATCCACAAAGTTTCAGAGAACTGAATGTGCTGAAAACAAATTTAGCATAAGGGAATGTTTGACTTCAAATTCCAAGATAATAAGTTGAAATCTCAAAATGCAACATGGAGATGCAGTGAACAACTCAATATACAGGGTGCCAACATATACCTTATCTTTTCAACAGACACTGTAAACGACATGGAAAATGCTGCACAAATCCAATTGGATCGACACAACTGTAAAGCCCAATTAGGTGGAAAAAATAACCAACATTCAAGTTCTTGACAAATAAACTATTTTGTTGTACAAGTCTAAGCTGCTGTAAGATCCAAAAGTATCAATATGCTATGCTATGCTCTACCCTATCCTATGCTATGCTGCTCTATTTAAGCTCTGATCAGTGTCACAAGTACAACTATGCTTCATTGTCCAAGGAACACCAAATCTTCCAACGATATATCCAAGCGATTTCAAATGCTTATAAGCCTGGAACAATATGAGCTATGAAGAATACGGAAGTTTAAGCAAAGCATCTAGCAACCTTACAACTAGTTTAAACAAAGTAAGTTGACATGCAGTTGCACATATCCAAGATCAGTAAGATGTTGCAATCCTAAACATGCCTCAACTACTAGGCAACGATTTAGAAGACTTCATTCTGTGAGCGTTCAGCGTTTCCTTCATCTGCTATCATTTGCTGGTTCAGGCTAGCAGCCATGTTGTTGGCAGCCATGCCCTCAAGGCCTTGAAAGTGGCACCAGTACCTGTTGGTTCAAATGACCTAAAAACTAAACAAACATTAGAAGATGAGCTGCTTCCTTTAGAAGAAAAACAACATGCAATTCCTATCAAACAAGTGCTTGACAGAAGCATCAGCCAATAAGGAAACGAATGTACACCATACAGATCATGATGTTATTGGTTTGATCCCATCCATGCTGAGATGCAGGGGTGATGACACCAATGGAATTGGAAATAAATGGAGTATCATCTGAACCAAAAGAGCTGGCAAATATTCAGAGTTCAGAACTGAGACATGTAAAATGCTAAGGTAACAGACAAGACAAGTTTAAGCGATATTATTCAGATAGGTAACTGAATCAACTCTTCAAATCATCCCACGTGGAACAACGAATATGAAAAGGGACATACTCAGTACATAACAATTTTAATTAGCAAGAAAAAAACACTTGGGTGTCATATTGACATATTCATATTTCTATACAACAATTCGGTAACTTATCTATGCAATCATGGACCTTTAGACAATAGAGTTTCAGGCAGAGGACAAACAAGCTATAGCAATTCTTATTCACTTAAGTATCACTATTTGTTGCTTTATAACAACGATGCCTTCATTTGCTTGCTTGTCTTAGCCTGCAGACTTCAACCGAAAGCAAGCAATGCAAGCAGCAGAGGAAGAGGAGAGCAGCAGGTGTGTACCATCTGGCCGTTGGTGAGGAGCGACACATTGGGGACAGGGCTGAAGCCGTGATGCGCGTCCCCGCCGTGGTCGTAGCTCATCTGCGCCCTGAGCATGGACTCGGCGACGTACTGCGGGTCATCGTCGTGCCCCACGCCGCCGTACTGCAGGCCGAACTCGCGCTCTAGGTCATCGACGCCGTCCTCCTCCTCGTCGCCCGCCACACGTGAGCAACCCTCGCGGCGCTCGTGCTTGTAGCAGGCACGGCAGTTGGTGGTGGGCACTGACTTGCCGAGCCCGCCCTCTAGCTTCGCCACCACGGACCGCCGCATCCGTGGACGCGCGCACCCCCCGGGCAGCGGGGACGGCCGCCGCCGCCACGACCGGGAGCGCAGTCGCCGCCACGGCCTCCACGTTCTCGGTTGGGGAGATGAGGGCTAGTGAGAAGGGGTCAGGCTCGAATCTCGACGGAGATGATGCAGGACCGGCGTAGAGCGTCGAGGTCCTCCCGTGGACGGATCAACGGCGGCGGACGGCGGTGGCACAGAGACGGAGAATACAGAGACGGTGGAGAATTGTTAGACAAAAATATTCATCTTTTTTTTAAAGGCAAATATTCATCTACGTATAGTACTTAAAGCAAACATCCCAACTATACTATTCAAAACATTATTTTTATAATTATGGATTTACCTTTTTACTCTTATTAAAAAATTACTAAAAAAATTACCACTCTTTTATTTGAAGTCCTAATCCTCTCAACTTTGGAGGCGCTACGGCACATATGGGTCCACCGACCATAGACACATCTAACGCCTCCCAACACCTTCCTCATTGACATCTCTCAACGCCTTTCCTCATATGAGTCCACCAATCATAGACACATCTAACGTTTCCTGACACCTCCCCAACCATAATAAAAAGTTCTTTTTTTATTTGACCAATTTAAATTCATTGTCACGGCAAGTTAAACTCAGGACAAGGAGTTGCTACGCTGCAACCACTAAAACGAGCATAGTTCTCTCTGAGTCTGGACTCGGCAATTTATATTTTGTGATACAAGTAGTTATAGAGCTCTACTAGCTATTACAACCAAATAATTAGGTGGAACCACAAGCCACCAAAGCACTAACTCAGTTGTGTCAGAAATTCCAGACGATCATTGTACATTATTTTCTCCATCGGATCGCAAAAATTTCACCGTACTCCTTTGATTAGTGAAGCGGTTTGTTTTTTTTTTAGCGAAGCGAACGGAGCCATAAGGTTTATACATTATGCTTAGAGAAATGCTAGCACACAAACGTCCGATGGGGATAAATTCCATCGGATGCCTGCCTGCACGCCTGACAAGCCCGCCCCGACGCCTGACCCGGCCCCATTCCCATCCGTTCGCCCAGCCCCCGCAGGCGCACCCTCGCGTTCCCCCAACCACCGGCCCCCATCGCGCCGCACGCCACATCCGCTGACCACCGGCTCGCCGTGCCCCATTCCCCGGCGCCCCTGACTCTCCGAACAGCAGAAAACACGTGCAACATAAAACACTTGAATGCAACATACATGTAAAACAGATGAAACATCTGGAATATACACTTGCAACATATGTGTGAAAACATATGCACTATTCAGATTGAACACTTACAACTTACAACATGAAAACACTTGCTGCAACAGAAGGCTGAAACAGATGAAACATTTTGAAACATACTATTGCAACAATATGTGTGGACACCAGAATTCCTTCCAAAGACCAAAGTTAACTAGCTCGTCCTAAGAGAAGCCGTGCCACCACTGCAACTTGAAAAGGCACACCAGTAGCAACCCAACAGACTAACGTGTCAAGATTTTCAGAGTTGTTCACCATTAAACTGCCGACTTGTCACTCCACTTTCATTGAGTCTGCAATGTGAAAATGGATCTTGAGAAATCTCACAAAATTGAGCACGGCTGCAGGAGAAATGCAAAACAAAGCGATGAATGAGAAGCTAAAAAGGCACTAAAAATTCTATGCTACCAGCAATGGTATCTGAAGCGAAAGCATTTGGAGCAGTGCTGCGAAGTTCCTCGTTCCAGATAACTCCTCTCTGCCATGGTAGAAAGTAGAAACTACTATTAATCGACATAGGAAAGCACTTGAAGCTGTTCAAGGGCGTCGAATGCAAACCTGAGGAAATGCAGATAACTGGGCGTTTCTTGTCACATGAACATTTGCTGGATTAGGGATGATCCTGTGTGAGAAACCTTCTTCAGATGCTCTGTACAGATTAAGATGCACATTGCTCGCTTGCAGGTTGTATCCTGGAAAAGCAGAGCTGGCATCTTGTGTGCAAAGGATCTGTAGTGTCAAGGATTGAGGAAAGATCAGTCTAAAGGCATTTTCTTTATCAACCCGAGTTGAGCTTTGCAATCTTACATCTTGCAGGTCGAGGTCACAGTTGAGCTCTGGGCTGATCGCTGAGAGCTTCATCGAAAGGAACTGAAAAATCCAACACAAACATGAAAATGAAGATTCAGCCATTGGCCTAGAGAAATCATTGAGTAAACCTCCAAATCATAGATTTTCAATACACTAACCTCAACCTGCCGCTGCAGAGATTGCACATAGTTTATGATCTCATCAAGCATCATGGCCTTGCCTGTAATCTGCCTTGTCATAAGAAACATGTCCCTATTGGTTAGAACACACCATAACCACATCAGTATGACCATAAGCGTCTGCTTGGTGTCATTCATACCTTGTTGCAACCCGGGACAAGGTCTTGAAGAAGCTTCATCCTTTCATTTATCTTTTCCCTTCGAAACTGCAGTTCGGATGGGCATGCTACTGTAAGCAAGAGACTTGCAGGAGCATTAACTATGTTGCTCAAGAGATAAAAATTACTCTTTCTGCAAGGCTGTGGCTGTTGGTGGCTTGGCCGCGCTTTGCCCGGACATGCACGTAGTCCTCTCTCTTGGCTCCAGCATCACCCGCCTTCTCATCAGCACACTCCATGCTGACCTCTCGCTGCAACAATGCACTCGCTTCATCCTGCAGTAATACATTTACATGTACAGTAGAATGAAATAGAGGGAATGAGATATGGTGCAACCGATGAGACAAAGCAATGGTAGCTTCTAGCTTCCTTACTACAGAATGTAGTGATGAACTGTCCTCTCCAGAACCCTTCCTCTTGCCATCCTTCAAACACTTCCCTGTGTTCATATTTCTACTTAGTTGAGCATCTGGGAAGAGTTGGAATGTGAAATGTTATTAGTCAGAAGCTTCACAGATTAACAGCTATTGTTGCTAAGAAAATGAATTGAGAATAACTATACCTCCAGTAGAATTGTAGAGCTGAACCCCCTCTTGCATGCCTACATTTTTCACTGGAAAGACGATAGGCTCATCAAAATTCATGGTATGGTCTAGTGAAGCAAGCAGATTAGTTCCGATTGCGAAGCACTGCTCTTCCTCTCTGTCAGGGTCGGTGCGTGGAGGGGAATACATCTGCCAAGAATCAATGATTGATCTTGTCACATTGCAAACTGAACGGACATATATAGATCTTGCCATGAACGTATGTACTCACCATCCTGCTCTGATACTTGAACTCAGTGCGATGTTGCAATCATTTTTGGGAATGACTAGTGACCTTCTAACTTGCCAGGTCTGCCAACTGAAGGAGCTTTACTTAAAGGGTGGAGTGGATCGGGAGCTGGGCACAGTCAATTCCTTGCAAGGCTCAACAAGGAACAACTAACCCGTGCAGCCTTACATAAAGATTGTCCAAAGTGAAAAGGCTAACTAAGCCTGGTGCAATAGACAAACGCAAGGGCAAAAGCGGAAACCGAGTCCTGGAATAGACTTGCTGGTACTAGTACTACTAACAACAATGCACCAGCTGGATCACATCCAGAGGTCAGAATAAAGAGTGTTCTGGGTGAAGATCGATTGCAGTAGGTGCTGCAAAACTGAAGACCTAGCAACCAACCCAAGGATCAGATGCTAATGCCATCCACTGTATGTATGGGCCAGCCCGGAATATGGTTAATTATTAGACAATCAACCGGGCCCATCTAAGTTTAAACCCTCTGAAACATTGCCTCTATTAAAGTCCTGTCCTCCAGATTTACTTACCAACCCAACTCATGAGCGTAATGTTTGAGAAAGTACTCAATTTACTTGCTGAAGGATATAAAGAACTCTTCAAGAATTTACTTTAAGCATGGACTAGTTCTAGTATAAGAAGGTGAAATGGATTCCACAATTCGGCATAAATGCATAGATGCTGAATGCAAATTCGAGTTAATATAGTTACTAGTGGTTGGACACCAATAAGAACTCCAATTTCTCTCTTTTTTTCCTCATATTTGCAAGTACAAATGTACAATGCCTAAACAAAGTTAGGTAATTGCTGACTTGCACACACACACACCAACAGAACGAAAATGTGAGAATTCAGAGACCGTAGAATCAGATCCACAGAACAAGAAAGAGGACAACAGCTAAGAAAGTGTGACCTTCAAATCACAAGGGGAACCACTGAAGCAGCTTAGGGACTAAGATCTAGTCATCAGAAAACGAAAAAGTTGGATGGTTCTGATAGATTTATAGGACCATCTAGGCGTAGATCAGTGGATAAAACTCAACTTAGATAAGGACTTGGTGATGTACCTCGCGCGGACCGATGTCGTGGCCATGGTGCCGCAGCGATGCTCGGAGTAGAGGAAGCAGCGACGTGGAGGCGTGGTCAGTGGCGGCGGCGACTGCAATGGCGCTTCCCGTCGCTTAAAGCGCGCCCTTCTAGATCGGACTAGGGTTAGGACATGGTGGGGCGCTGGTGGCTGCAGTGAACCTCGTATCTCGAGCCCCAGCCCCCACCTTCTATTTATTGCGCTGCGTGACGGGGGCCATCAGCCAGAAGAACGGCTAGGCGCCCCCGATCAGGGCGCGGATCAAGGACCTAATTGGCCGTTGGGCTAAGTTGGTGGAGATCAATCCTAACATTCTTTCTCTTGATCTCACCTTATGACTTAAACTTAACTTACTTTATCTTTTCCCATTCCATCACAGATCAGTGCATAGAGCGTGCCTCATCGTCACGGTTAGTTGCCATTAGATTTAACAGCTACAATGCATATCTCTGTTTTAAAACAGATTCTCAACTAGACCCTTAGTATCCAGAAATTATAGGCTTTCTCATAAACCCATGTCGACTGTGTGTTTTCTGAACGCACTGGGTTGTTAACCTTTGGTAAGCGGATCCACAAGTACTTGCTTGGTACTTATATGCTCAATGCTTTCAAAATGATTCTGGATTTTCTCCTTTACAACATATAACTTAGTGTCAATGTGTTTGGTACCATACTTGACTGTTGTCTTAGGAGTTAACTTACTTTAAATGGTTATTGCTGTTGTCTACCATTGTTAAATCCGGGTATAAATTTCCTTAACTTTTTTGCTTGTTCCTTAAGCCTCATGTCAAGCTATACTATGATATGCATCACTGATGACACCACAACTGTTTCTTTGGAGCTTTTCCATAATAATAATCCAACTGCGAGTGTTAGCAATTGTTGTGGATTTCACTACACATCTTGTCAAGACTTAACATTTGTACCCTCAACTATTTGAGAGTACTTGTTCTTTCTTACTCAACATGAGGCCTATGATACTTTGCAAAATTGCAAGACATTCTCAACTCCATTCCAGTGATCTATATCTGGACTGGACTTCTACCAAAATATCCCGGATACGTAAACTATGTTAGGATAAATTCTTACTTGTACTTGTACACTCATTAAGCTTCCAACAGCAGAAGCATATGGAACCATGTTCATTCGATCGATCTCATATCGGTTCCTGGAACACTTAAAGTTTCCAAATCTATTACCCTTAACTATAGGAGCAGGCGTAGGTTTACTCGCATGCATACTTTATTTCTTTAAAATATTTTCTAAGTATGCCTTTGCGATAGTCCTAATACCCCATTTTCTTCTATCTCGGTGAATTTCGATTCCTAGAACCAATAACGCTTCACCAAGATCATTCACATTGAAATTTGAGGACAAGAACTTCTTCTCCAATGACAGATTAACATCACTACTAGTGAGTAGGATGCCATCTATACACAGGATATGGAAAAGAATTTTCCATTCTTGAACTTCGCATAAACGCTATTGTCCTTCTTATTTTCTTTAAAACCCAAACTTTGTTATTGTTTTCATCAACATTAAATACTACTGTCTAGAGGCTTACTTTTAACCCATAAATGGATTTCTACAGGCGGCATCCCATATGTTCTTTTCTTCCACGACAAAACTTTTTGGGTTATACCATGTAAACGTTTTCATACAAATCCCTATTGAGAAATGTCGTCTTTACATCCATCTGATGTAACTCTAAATCGTAATGTGCCAACAACGCCATTATGATTCTAAAAGAATCTTTGCATGAGACTAGAGAGAAAACTCTCATTGTAATCTATTCATTCTCTTTGCATAAAGCATTTTGCTAAAAATCGTGCTTTATATCTTTCTACATTCCCTTTGTAGTCACATTTTGTCTTATAGACCCATTGTCGACACAGAATTTTCGTCTCCGTGCCGAGGACACACGCAGCAAGCCGAAGGGGTCCGCTTGATGGAGCAGATCCGCCTAGCTTCAGCGCAAGGGTGGTCGATCCTGCGCAATCCTCCCGAGACGTGCCAGTCAATTTGACCCTGTAATTGACAAGGAGAGAAAGTTTATCAGTAATTAAGGACGGAACATGCCGGTGTTGCCAGACAGTCTCGAATGTGTGGCTCTGAGAGCCGATATGAGAGGAGATCGACTAAATAGTCGATTCCAGTATATTCATAAGAATAAATCGGTTAAAGCTCATGGGGTTGTGTAAGAAGAATTGGTTATCATCCAAGATAGATATAATTCGAGCAATAATTTAATCAATGGCAATAAGATATCAATGATGATTGGTTTAAACTGAGCCAATGATTACAAATAACCGAACCCCTTTTTATATAAAGAAACAATTCAACACCACTTAACCATTTAATAAAGATAAATCTAATGAACATGTTAGATCTCATCTATCGCCATGACCAGTGGGGCATGAGGCAGAATCATGCAGGTCGTAGAAACAACAATAGACTCGACGACCCTAACTTATTACTAATATCAGTGGGGCATGAGGCAGAATCATGCAGGCCATAATACAATAATAAGATCATGGGGCTAACATATCTTTCAACTTATCTCTACTTCAATGATCTCGTAATGTGAACTGTTCGTGAAAGCGCTCGATATCGGCTAAACAGCCGATTCAGGCATAGCGCACAGTTAAGGTCATGCCTTCTCAGAAACGGATCTATTAACTAATGATCCCCACTCCACGGTGCTAACAGTGGGGTGAGAGGCAGAATCCCACAGGTCGTGATAACAGGCCATGGAACGGTTCTCGCTAACCAATAGATCTACTCAAGATCGAACATGCCTTAATCGCATGCTATGCACGATTAAGATTGATATAAAACAGCTAATAAAAACATAACTCGTCGTTTAAGGTGTAGATTAGATCAGTTTTAGATTGGCAAACGATGGGTTAAATAAGATATAAGGCCGATCCAGATCAATCTCAATCGGGCAGAGTGATATTGCTGTAATTAGATAAATAATGAAAGCAATAAGCAATATCGGTAACTTAATGAATCTACCAAAGACTGCCATTCAAAGGTAGAGCCGATAACTTGACCTTGATCTAGTTCAAGCAGTGGGGTGTGAGGCAGAATCACACAGGCCATACTTGAACTAGGCAAGAGTCGATAACTAGCCTATACCAAAGTCGTAGTGGGTTCGATCGGATCGATGCAGCCATACGAACAGAGGTATAAACAATGATGGTACTTACAGACAAGTAGTGGAGGTCGACCGGATCGATGCAGCCGTACTCGCTGAAGAATTTGTTGAGATCTACTCTACTCCTACTCCTAAGGGGTGGCCGGAGCCGAAAAAGTAAATTAACTTGTATTTGATTGATTGTTGTTTTTTATAATAGCCGGGGTTTGATATTTATACCCGAAGTCTAGACATGAATCCTACTCGAGCACGACTTGTTACAATCTTTGGTATGAAAGAAATATTCCTATCTTAAGATAACTTAGACTATAATCTTTCCCCTTTTGTAGAGTCCAATATGTATCTTTTTGACGCCAATCATATCCCATCATCGTCATCTGCTGACGTCATTCGGAAAGAATCGATCCAGTGTCACATTCGATCCAGCAGATATCAACCTTTACTCCATCGACTTCTTGATTGGCATAATTCTAGAAGCCTACGAGTTCCCACGCTCTTCTCCCAAATTTTGGTGTAAACACATGCCCCCCAATTTTGGGATAAAATGATTTTATCCTGAAATTCTAGTTCACTGGTTTATCACGCCGCAACTGCACTTTTCGAGATATACGTGTGACTCTTGACTCCCTGGCCCGAGTTCTATATAACATCCCAACAATATCTTTTGCAATCCACACGGCCTGTTTGCTTTCTCCTTCTTCCTGAATCAACTCCAACAGCCGACGCCGTCATCGCCAA